AAGAAGAAGGAGAATGTTAGCCAATAACATATAAGTGAGGCTATAAGCCTGGAGGACCCATTTAAACTCTCAGGACCTAGTTTGGGGGAGACCAAAGGTGTTGGCTGAGTCAGAGGGAGCACCTGAGGGGCTAGATGGAGCTGACGGGGGAGGTGGGTAGAGAGGGGATTCTTCTTCTGGATAGGTCGGGGTGAGAACAAAGAAGAAAAAAAGCCTCAACATAGGGGATCTCCTTCCACTTTTTTGAGCACTGGAAGAAGTTAAACAGATCTCTGAGAATTGCAGGATCTAAGAGACCCAAATAGCTAAAGCAATCCTTAGCAAGAAGAGTGAAGCAGGTGACATCACTGTACCTGAAAGAACTAACAAGGCTCATCGTCATCGGAGAAAATGCCCATTTATTGAGGAACAGCTCTGCATATTTATAGAGCCGGGGGTGGTTTGACAGTTATGACAGTTTAATGGTTGAAGGGTTTGACAGTTGGCATGGGGTGCTTTCTGATTGGTGGGTAAGGATCATGTGAGTCAGCAGGGATAGTCTGATTGGTGGGTAAGGATCATGGAGCCAGAAGAGCTCACCATTGGATGGCTCTTCTGGCGGGGATGGGGAACTTAGTCTTTGGAGCCGGGGCGACTCCCAACAGAAACTGTTTTTAAATTTATACTTCAAAAAGCAGAAACATCTAGAATATACTGATAGACAGTATATTCTTATAGAATATAAGACAAACTTATAGACACACAGGACCTACCCTAATTGAAAATCTAAAAAGACCACTTTCAAGCAATGAAAGATTGAAACAGCAATTAAAAGCCTTCCAACAAAGAAAAGTCCAGGATCAGAAGGATTCTCAGCTGAGTTCTACCAAACTTTTAAAAAATAATTAATGCCAATCTTTCTTAAATTATTTAATAAAATAGAGAAGGAACATTCCCAAATTTATTTTATGAAGCTAGTATCACTCTGATACATGAACCAGACAAAGACACATCAAGGAAAAAGACCAATATCCCTGATAAATGTTGGTGCAAAAATCCTTAATAAAATATTATCAAACTACACTCAAAACACATTAAAAAGATGGTATACCATGATCAAGTGGTTTTCATCCCATGGATGAAAGGTTGATTCAACATATGCAAATCAATAAATGTAATTTACCACATAAATAGAACTAAGGATAAGAATCATTTGATGGCCCCTTAGTAGACTGGATACAGCTGAGAAAACAATCAGTGAACTTGAGGACCTATCAGCAGACACTTTCCAAATTATCAGAAAAATCCTTTGAAAAACTTCAGCACCTATGCATGATAAAAATGCTGGAGAAGGGCCAGGGATATAGCTCAGTTGATAAAGTGCTTCCCTTGCATGCACAAGGCCCTGTGTTAATTCCCAGCTATCTATATCTATATCTATATCTATATCTATATCTATATCTATATCTATATCTATATCTATATCTATCTATCTATCTATATATATATATATATTTATGATGGAGAAACTAGGTATAGCAGAAACTTAAGCCAACATTACAAAGCTGTATACAAAAAAAAACCTAGAGCCAACTTCATACTGAATTAGGGAGAAAACTTGAAAGCATTTCCTTTTTCAAAATCAGGAACTAGACAAAGATGTCTACTCTTAGCACTCTTGAAACTAGCCAGAGTTAATTAGACAAGAGAAGAAAATTAAAAGATCATAAACAGGAAAAGAGTTAAACTAGTCTGTTTGTTAATGACATGATCCTATATCTAGATCCAAAACCACCACAAGAAGACTTTAAGCACTGATAAAATATTTCAGTAAAGTAACAGAATATAGGATCAACATACAATAATCAATAGCTTTTCTATATACCAATAATCAACCTGCTGACAAAGAAATCAGGAAAACTTCATTGTAATCTCAAAGAAAAAAAAATATTTGGGAATCTCTAACTAAAGGAGTAAATGAAAACTATAGAACACTTCAAGGAAGAAAATGAAGAGGACTTTAAAAGATGAAAAGACCTCCCATGTTCTTGAATAGGCAGAATCAATACTGTCAAAATGATCATTTTATCAAAAGTATTGCACATATTCAATTAAAATACCAATGACATTCTATACAAAACTAAAACAGTCCTAAAATTTATTTAGAACAACAAAAAAAGATCAGAATAGCCAAAGCAATATTGAGCAAGAAGATCAATGCTGAAAGCATCACAATATAGGACCCCAAATTGTACTACAGAGCTATAGTAGAGAAACCAGCATGATCCTGGCATATAAACAAACAAACAAACAACAAAAAATAAATAAATAACATATAAACCAATGGAATAGAAGATAGAGAGAAAAACACACATAGTTAACAGTAATCTGATACTCAACAAAGATGTCAAAAATATGTTGAAGAAAAGATAGCCTTTTAAATAAATGAAGCAGGAAAACTGGATGTCCATATGCAGAAGAATGAAAAGAGAACCTTATCTTTCATCTTGTGCAAAAGTCAACTTCAAATCCATCAAAGACCTAGGAATTAGACCAGAAACTATGTAACTTCTAGAAAAAAACACAGAGCTGATACTCCAACATATTGGCTTTCTTAACCAAGGCTCCTTAATAGGCACATTAATGTTTATAGAAATGCAATTCAGAAGAGTCAAGTTATGAAACAAGTCCAGGTTCCCATCAACAAATGAATGGAAAAAGAAAATATGGTATATATACACAATGGAATTTTTTTTCTCAGCCATAAAGAAGAATGAAATTATGGTTGCTGGTAAATGGAAGGAACTGGAGAACTTCATGCTAAGTAAAATAAGCCAGACTCAGAAAGTCAAGGATTGAATGTTTTCTCTCATATGCAGAAGCTAGAACAAAATAAGAGAACAAAAGGTGGTGTGGGGGTAATCCCATGAAAATAGAAGGGATATCAGTGGTGTAGAGGAAGGGAACTGAGGGAAAAGGAGGAGGAATGAAAAAAGGGAGGAACTGAGGAATGAAACTGACCAAATTATGCTATGTACACGTATGAATATACCATGGTGAATTCTGCCTCTATGTGTCTTTATAATGCACCACTTTAAAAAGAATAAATATCCCACGATTTGGGAGGCTGATGCAGAAAGTTCACAAGTTTGAGGCCACCCTTGGCAACTTAATGAGGCCCTAAACAACTTAGCAAGATCCTGTTGGGGATGTAGCTCAATGGTAAAGTGCTTCTGGGTTCAATCTTCAGGACAAAATAAAAAAGGCAAGGAATACATAGAAAGAAGAATAGCAGATTAGAGGTAGGGGTTCAGGAGCTGGGAGAAGGGGAGGGAAAGAGGAAGTACTAGGGACTCAGATGGAACAAATTATATTCCATGCATGTATGATTATGTCAAAATGAATTCCACAATTATATGTAACTATAATTTACTAATAAAAACATAATAAAGAGAAAAACAACAGTCAAGAGAATGCTAAGTCAACCCAGAAATTGGATAAAATGTTTGTAGAACACCTATCTGGTAAACATCTGTGATTCAAAATACACAACCCTTCAAACTTAACAATCATAAAACAAAAAACCCAGTTAAAAAAGTGGACAAAAGACACCTGACTGGGGGCTGGGGTTGTTGCTCAGTGGTAGAGTGCTTGCCTAGTGCAGGTGAGGCACTGGGTTTGATTCTCAGCACCACATAAAAATAAAATAAATAAAAATAAAGGCAATGTGTCTATGTACAACTAAAAAATATTTTTAAAAAGACATCTGACCAAATAGTTCACCAAAGATATACAGATAACAAATTAGAATATGAAAAGATGCTCAATATTATATGTCATTAGGAAACTGCAAATTCAAATAGCAAGGAGATACCACTACAAATGCATTAAAATGGACAAAATCTAAAACACTGACAACATCAAAAGCTGATGAGGATATAGTGCAACAAAAAGTTTCATTTACTGATGACAGAAATACAAAATGGTATTGCCAACAGGAAGACAGTTTCTTGCAAAATTAGTCTACTCTTACCATAGGATCCCATATTTGAGCTATTTTGTATTTACACAAGTGAGTTATGTCCAAATAAAATGTGTACATAAATATTTATAGCAGTTTTATTTCTAATTTCCCAAGCCTGAAAGCAACTAAGATGTCCTTCAATAGTGGAATGGACAAATGATTTCTGGCACATCCAGACAATGGAATAATTTTAAGCACTAAAAAGAAATGAACTATCAAGCCAGGAGAAGACCTACTAAGTAGGGGAAGGCAATCTGGAATGGCTACATACTATATGACTCCAACTACAAGACATTCTGGAAAAGGAACAATATTTTTGAAGAAGGTAAAAAGATGAATGTTTGCCAGGGGTTAGTGGGGAGGAAGAAATGAATAGATGGAGCACAAAGGATTTTTTAAGTCAAAGAAACTAGTCTGTATGATATTGCAGTGGTGGATACATGTTCTTATATGCTTGTCCAAACCCACAGAATAAACAACAGAAAGAGTGAACTCTAAACCAGGTGCAGAGGCACATGTCTGCAATCTCAGTTACTTGGGAAGCTGAGACAGGAGAACCACAAGTCAAGCCCAATCTTCGCAACTTAGCAAGACTCTTGTTTTAAAAATAAAACACAAAGGGCTGAGGATACACTTCAGTGGTAGATGCTTGCTTAGCATATATGAGGC